CATCATCAGCAGGGAGCCGACCCTGACCATGATGCACAGGGAGGCAACTGATGAGGAGTGGGCTAAGCCTTCTGCCGCTTGGCACCGCGCATGGCAAGGAGCTTCTCATAGAACAGGTTGACGAGGTCATATCTGGCGCCATCTTCACCAGCCAACTTGATGGGCCCGTTAATCCGGTCGGGCGTGAGCTCATCGGTCTCGCGGTTGACGCCTGCACCTCCTGCCCCCCCATCATCACCAGGAGCAGGAACATCGCGAGCATCTTGGCCATGCCATTCCCATCCACCTGCATGGGTTGGGGCATCGCCGCGGCTGCTTTGCGCACCTGTTCCTCGACGCAGGAGAAGAGCTTGGCGGCGGCGTCCTCTCAGAGACCGACGAATGTCTCGCGCACATACTGGGGGTAGTTCTTCATCTGTGAACTTGAAATGGGCCAGCAGGTCTTGATCGACACGGCCCTCAAGGGCGACGGCCTTGGCGGTCTCCGCGAAAGATTTCCGAAGGCCTCGATATCCAGCTGCTTCGTTGCGATAGCTGCTTTCTTGTTCTCGAGGGACGCCTGGATGTCCTCGAGCTTCTTCGCCATGGCCACTGCTTCGCTCTCCAACTTACTGAGCTGGGTCTGGGCATGCTTGAGTCTGTCCTGAGCGCTGCGGTGCGCAGCCTCAGGGGTCTGGATGCTCTCGAGTTGCACACGCAGCGATTCCACCTCGAGCGAGAAAGCGGCCTTGCAGTGTCCAGGAACTGCAGGATCCTTAATTTGCTTCTCAAGGAACTGGATGGAGCTGAGCAGCTCCGTTCGTGATACTTTTCCGTTCTTCCCGCCATCGCCGTCCACGTCGAGGGCCTATGCCCAAGGCTTCGCCTTCTCAAGCTGTTTCTCGAGCTTCGCCACCTGCTTCCGAAGCTCGGCCGTCTCCTCATGCTGCTGACGGGCCCACGGGGCGAGGGTGGCACGGCGCCATCCTCCTCCATGTGCGCTTGGCGGCTGCTGTGGCGGCTTCGCCCCGGCATTGGAGTCGGCAAGCATGGCAACGGCGATGTTGCGGGCTGGGGCATTGCGTCCGCAGCGGCATCGGACGCGGCAGGCCCATTTCTTGTCGGCCCCGCAAGCACATCCCCAGTGGGGAACACTCGGGCCACGTAGCACATCGGGAAGAGGAGCCAGGATGGGGCTCGCGAACCCTCCTCTCCAGGTGCGGACTCCGCCTGGAGCCACTGCTCCCGCACTGGAGAAAGGAGGACCACTGATTCGCTGAAAGACTGCCGCGGACTAGCGGTATCCATGTGCCGTCCAGGGACAGCCAAAACTTGAGCCAAAATGGCTACGGAGGGGGTAGGAAAGAGGAGGAGGCAGAGGAGGGGAGGAGGAGGAGGAGGAGGAGGAGGAGGAGGAGGAGGAGGAGGAGGAGGAGCAGGAGGAGGAGGAGGAGGAGGAGGGGGAATGCGAACAAAGTATCGAGTGGCATGCGGCCCATCCCGCCACTGTGCCTGGGACGTGGGTGAAATGCCTCATATATGCTTGTTTGAGAGTCTTGGGAGGCCTCTCGGGGGCCCCTTGGAAGCTTCACGGCAGCCGGAAGGCCACCGAAGGCCACCGACGGGCTATCTGGCGCTGTCAGAACGGGTCCCCGTACCACTCCACTCCGCTGGACCTCCCAGGAGCCCACGAAAGTGGCGACAGCTTCACACTTCGCAACCCCGCAGGGAGCCGCGAGCTCTCAACTGGGTCCCCGTACCACTCCACTCCGCTGGACCTCCCAAGAGCCCACGAAAGTGGCGACAGCTTCACACTTCGCAGCCCCGCAGGGAGCCGCGAGGTCTCAACTGGATCCCCGTACATACCACTCCACTCCGCTGAATCTCCCAGGAGCCCACGAAAGTGGCGACAACTTCTCACTTCGCAGCCCCCCAGAGAGCCGCGAGATCTCAACTGGGTCCTCGTACCACTCCCCTCCACACGACCTCCCAGGAGCCCGCGCAAATGGCGACAGTTTCAGACTTTGCAGCGCCCAAGGGAGTCAGGAAGGTCACAGCTGCGTGTGCGTGTAAATCCACTCCGGCGACAGTTTCACGTCAGGGAGCCGCGAGGTCTCAACGGGGCTGCGGCGCAAGTAGGACGCAGGAGAGGAGAAGAGGAAGGCAGTGGCTGCGTGTCCCCCCACTCCGCCGGACCTCCCAGGAGGCAGGAAGCAGAATGCAGGAGGAGGCAAGAGGGGGAGGAGGGTTGGAGAGCGCGTTGCTCTGTTCAAAACGAGAACCCAACGCATGAAGCTTAGATGAAAGCAGCAGCTGCACAGATGGGGTGCGGCTCTTTGACAAATAGGACTCTCGCCAGGAGAGCTCCTCTGCATATACAGCGCATGTTAGCCACGCAACAGCTACGTAAATGGATTGAGGGAGGCTCCTCTTCAAAGTCGGGCTTTGTCGCTTGAAGCTTCGATCCGTCCTAAGACCTGATAGCCAGACCCCAGATTGCCGGGTGTGCCGCGTGTCCCCGCTGACATCTTGGGGCTTGTCGCGAGGACTTTTCCCGAGGCCAGGGGACCCCAAGGAGGCCCTCCTGGAGGTCCTCCAGACGGTCCAGGGGTGCCCAAGAGCGCTCCACTCCACGTCGCCCGAAGATGGCAGCAAGGCGGCCCACGTGACCTCTTAAGTCGGTTAAGAGAGGGTCCAAAGATCGCCCCCAAGAGGGCACCAAAACATCGAAATCGTCCAAAACCCTTTTCGGCTTCTAGCAGCTAGCATTACCGCCTGTTCATTTTGAGAGCGTCCCAGACGGCCACAGAGCCCTTCAAGATCGCACTAAGACGGCTCCCCTATGAGGGCCCCACGACGGCCCAAGAGGGCCCCAAGATGGCCCAGGAGGATCCCAAGACGAGCCCAAGAGGCCCCCAAAGACGGCCCCAAGAAGAACCCACGAAGGAGCTGATCGAGCTCTCCACCCTAAGATGGCCTCAAGAGCCCCCCAGAGGCTCCCGAGGCCCCCCAAAGAGGCCCTAAGAGGCCTCCAGGAGGCCCACAGGAGGCCCCCAAAGTCGACAAGAGGCCCCCCAGGAGCCCCTAAGAGATCCACAAGAGCCCTCCAGGAGGCCCCCTGGTGTACCCCATGAGACCTCAAAGCCCGAAGGTGCATCCAAGAGTCCTCTGACCCACAACCTGGGCAAGGCGGTGGGGTTGGGCCGACAGCCACTGGATCTGGTCTGTGCCTGCCACAAGGGTGCACGGCCTGCCGAACGTTGGGCTGTGTTGGTCTGACCCGACGGCCGCCCGAAGGACCCACAAGACCAGAAAACATGTTCCTCCAAGTCGGGCAAGACGGCCTCAGGACAGCCTCCAAGACGTTGACGGTGGCCCAAGATGCCTCCAAGACAATATCAAGATGCCCCCAAGACGGCCCAAGACGGTCCAAACACGGACCAAAATGACCACCAGATGGCACAAGGGGCGCCCAAGACGGCCCAAGAGGCCTCCACGACACCCTCTAGGGGGCCCAGTGATTTTCCCGAGGCTGTTCAATGATTTTAACGTTCTGGCCTTTTTCGAGCTTAGGCCTCCAAAGTCGACCCGAGAGGCCCCAAAGAAGCGCGCAAGACGGCCCAAGAGGGCCCCAAGACCGCCCAAGGGGCCCCCAAGACGGCCCCAAGACGACCCGTACACCTCAAAGGCGGCCCTAAAGTGCCTAAAGAGGGACGCACGACTGCCCCGAGAGGGCCCCAGGACAGCCACCTAAGGGCCAAGAGGTCCCCCGGAGGACCTCTGAAGCCTCCCAAAAAAACCCAAGAGGCCCCTCAGAGGCCCCCTGAGAGGTCCCCCGGAAGACCCCAGAAGGCCCCAAGAGGGCTTCAAGAGGCCTCCCCTTCTTCCTCCTCCTTCTCCTCCCCTCCTCGTCGATTCATTTCTGAGCAGCTTGGAACGCGCGTGCGGGGAAAGACATGCATGGCGAAGCAAAAAGGGAAAGGACAGTACGTGTATCGACCCTCATTGAGAGGACGTCGTCGCTGTATCTGCGTCCACCTGTATCGCTGTATATCGCTGTACCTGCGTCCTCCATCTCCTCCCCCATTACGAGGAAACTCATGGAGGCCTTGCGCGACAATGTGAGACCAAGAGCTTCCGTTGGATCCACGTCGGATTTACGTCGGGTCCACGTCAGATTACATTGGAAAGCACGTCGGAATCGAACTTACATCGAAACATCGCCGCGCGGACGTCGTCCCACATCTGACGGGGCAGAAGTGTGGACTACATCATACAGCTATTGCGCGCCGCCCGAGGCCTCCAGGAGTTTCCTAATAGGACCTCTCAGACTCATTTCTCTTCCTCGCCCAAGTGATTCCCCAAGGGGTTCTAGAACAGACGGGGGAACACATGATCCAATAGCTTAGCCAGATTTCGGCACAACATGAGCGTTTCCAAAAGGCAGGAGGCGGCGGTGATTCGCCGAAAGCATCCTCGATCCGAAGCCTCTTGCAGTCTGCCCACAGGGGCGCTTGATGCTTTACTGTTTGAACCCTTCCAAAAGGCTGCGATGTCTCCAGCACAACACGCTGGCCACCAAGAAAAAAACTCAGGCAAGGGTTGTCGCCGTCAAAATGGCCCAAAGATGGCTCCAAGAAGGCCAAGATGGCCTCCAAGACGGTCCAAGAATGCTCCAAGACGGCCCAGAATAGCTCCAAGATGGCCCAAAAATGCTCCAAGACGGCCAAAGATGACCTCGAGGCGGCCCAAGGGGCCCCAAAACGCTCCAAGAGGGCTCCCAGAGCCCCCCGCCTGGACCCAACGTCTGCCTCCGAGCCTCCAGCTGGCCTCTTCCCCTCTCCTCATCACCCGCATCCTCCCTCCCTCCCTCCTCCCTCCCTCCCTCCAACTCTCCCACCGACCCCCCTTCCTTGGAGGGAAAAAAGGACCTTCTAGAAGCTACCATCCCCTTTTCTCGACACCCCTGAAGCCTGCACTGGCCACTGCATCCCCGTGCCCCTGGCCCGCTCTCAACGGCGTCACTTGCCGCCCTTGTTGCCCTCGAACTTGGAGTCCGGCGCGATTGAAACCGTCAGTCCCAGCTGCTGCAAGTTGACGCAAAACTGCTCAGCGAGGGCTTTCCAAACCTGAGCTTTGACGAAGGGGGCGTGGACTTCGCAGCAGCAAGGAGGGAGGGGGACGAGGAGGGAAGACCAAAGCAAGCTCAGGATGTACCAACGCAGCCGCAGCGCGCGCTCTCGTCCCAAATCCCCTCCTCGTTAGCACGGCACCGCCCGACAGGCGCCGCCCACCTCGGCCCCGCCCCTTCCCGAGCACCACGCTGGCTCGTCCTCCGAGCCGCGCCCAGCAGCGGAGACGAGGGGGGGGGGCCTGGCAGGCCAGGACAGGTGGCAGCACACGCATCCAGGAGGAAGAGGAGGAATAGGAGGAGAAGGACGACGACGACAACAACGACGACGACGACGACGACGACGTTCCGTAGCCATTTGGGCTCAAGACGCGTGCCCGGGAGGTTTGCGGAAGGACAGGCGGCCACGCGCGGCGGCCCCACCAGGGCTGCTCACGATTATCACAAGGACTTCCACGTGGATGGGCCGATCGCACGGAACGATCAAGAGTGCCGACAATGTGCAACCAACATTGGCGACCTTGCGAGGGCAGTTTTTCGCTGAGCATGGGCAACTGTTCGCATCAAGCTCAACCTTCACCCCTGGTAGTTCCACGAGTTCGCCGCCAACGATGTGAGCCGTTACGCAACGGAATACAACCACGGGCAAACTTATCCTGTCGTGTTAGTATATTCCAACAGATGTGCGCTGCCAGTAATTACTCCAAGTGTCCAGATGTGCCCTCCACCTCCTGCGTACACGCCAGGATGGAAACGAATGAACAAGATCAGGAAAATAAACATGATATCCTTGTTCCAACAAGCTCGTCAAGACTCGGGCAGCCCCAGCCTATCGCCAAGCAACGTCGGTAGGCTGGGATGGGGTTCCCGCATTCCCACCCGAGCGGCAGTGTACACAATATGTAGACCGAGCAAAAGACCCAAGAGGCACACCAAAATGAATATTCGTTCCGAGACTCTTTTCAAACTCGGGCAACCCCAGCCTATCACCCAGCAAGGCGGCAGGTCGGGATGGGGTAACGTACCGCATTCCCGCCCAAGCAGCACGACGCACACGAAGAAGACCAGCCTCCAATCACAACGGATCATAATGCTGCATAGACACACGGCAAAGGTCAGAAGTACCACTTCTACTCACACGTTGATGGTTGCCAGCAGTTGACTCGTTCGGACACTTTATACAAAGCGTCATCAGGTACGACTGTCAGAGCAGGGTTGTACCGCCTGGCTCCAAAACTAGCACGCCAAATCTGGACACACCAAACGCGCAGACCTCAATAAGATGGCACAAAAGATGGATACAAGGAAAGCTGATTCGCCATACTTAGATACAGACATTTCAAATTCTGACAAGTTGCCCATGAACAGCCTGCTGCTTCCTCCTCGCCACCTCGACACATCCGCCGTCGATAACTGCTTGTCCCCGGCGCAAAAGAAACCAACGATCAATTGCCGCAGCTAGTATCAAAGAATGACGAAGTTGAAAGTGTGTCAAACTACTAATAAACACTGAAGAAACAATGCTGCTAAAATTCTTCGCAAGAAAACTGTTCATCGCAGCAACCTGACAGGGATGGGCCAAGCGGCTGATCCAAGCATAGTGCATGGGGCACTACGAGCGTGGAAATTTCCTGGCTCCTAGCAATCATGCGCCACATCCGGTTTATCCCTCTCCTTCCCTTCTGCCATCCCTTTTAGACCAGGTAATAGAATCCTGTTTCTAATCATCACCGCGATCATAATATGTTTCCCGATCACAGTACCTCACCAGTACATCCAAGTACGGCCCGCGAGGAACAATTCTCCATTGCCTCGCGTTCAGAATCACTCCAGGAAAAGGCTCTTGGTTGGGATTGGGGGGTAGCGTGGAAGAGGAGAAGAAGTATGATCTGCATGAAAGGTGGCCGTGAGAGGTGGCGTCTTCCACCTGCCCTCGGCCGCCACAACCTTCGCAGACAGTCGCTGCGGGAGAAAGGCCAAACTCTACCACCTGTTTGAGCCTCCGAACTTTCTTTCATTAGGAGGGTGCGGCGCGGCTCACCACTGGGGGGAAAAGAGTTTCGAGGCCATGCCGCGCATCCCCACCTCACCGGCGACCTTTGGGGGGGGGCGCCGTCGAGAGCGCTTACCCAAGGCTGTGTAAGCGCGGGCAACAAGGTCGCAGGCGATGACGACGGCCTTGTCGAAGGCCTCTTCAGGGATAGTGTTCTGAGCCGCGAGATACAAGGCAGTTCTTTCTTGGCGGGCCAATTTTGCGTGCACTCCAGTCACCAAATGTAATCTGCGCGTCGGTCGCTCTTGCCACATACGTGGGCCCCCCATGCAAAGTCCAGGTCTGCCTCGCTGGAGTCGATGCGGACGTGGTGTTCGCATTCTGGCCGCTCTGCCTCCGCCTCGCAAGGGAGCTGGGGTCCTGTCTGTCGCTCGGTTTCGGCGAGGCTTGGGTCTGCGCCCCCGCCTGTCCCCCCGCTGGCAGTAGCGCCCCTCGTCGGTAATGAGCCTGACCAATATCGCGGCGCCCAAAGGCGATGCGCCGTTCACCTTCGAGACGGCCTTCTGGGCAGCAGCGTAAAAGGCGCAGGTAGCACGGATGCGCCCATCGTTGACAGACACGTTGTGGATCTGGCCGAAGGATGAGAAGGTGGCCAAGATGGCGGCCGTGTCCGCGCGGCCCTTGACAAAAATGTCCACGCGGGTGGCCCAGGTGGCCTCGATCTGCGGCTCGGGATTTCGCGGCGGATCCGGCCGTGGCGACGGGGGAGGGGTCCTTGGCGACATATCCCGACGTGCCAGGTGGGGGGGGCTGCCGAGGGAATCCCAAAGGGGGGGGCCATCCTTCAATTATTTTCAGGGCCACTGCCTGGGTCTGCTCCAAGATGGAGTGCCCTGCTGTTCTTTGGGCTAAGGCTGGCTCCTGCCCTGTCTGCGGGTCCGCCAGCCTCTCAGGGCCAGCCCATCTTGGACATCGCTGCCGGGGCCTCCGTTCCGCCGCTTCGGCGGGCGACAGCGGCCCTCGTAGCATCCGCCGCCACGTCCTCGAGGCGGTCCTTGGCGGGGTAGGGGACGGCTGGCGCCCAGGGCTGCCCTGGCGGGGAGGCGCCCTCGTCAGCTTCGCGGTTTACGGAGCATCTGAAAGCGTTGCAGTGGGCTGCCATCTCTGCCGTGGGCATGCTGAAGCAGTGTTAGATCTCGGTGCGGACGACGGTGGCGACCTCATTAATTGCGGATGGGATGGCGCAGCCCTCGGCGCTGCCCTCGGCGGCGGCGTAGGTCGGGACGAAGGCTTGCGCCTCCCGGCGCAGACCAGAGTTGATTCGAGCTGCGTCCTTCCAAAGCGACGAAGGAGCCTTACGATCATCGTTGGAATTTCTCTGGCTCCCGTAGCGGCCTTCCCTGTCGCCGAAGCTCTGCTGGTGCCCACGGGAGCGCTTCTGGTCCCTCTAGGCGCCCCTCCGGTCCTCGTTGGAGGGTTTCTTGTCGTCGTAGGTCTGCTGGTCGAAGTTGGAGCGTTTCTGGTCCCCGCTGTAGCGCTGCTGGTCGCCGTAGGAGCGCGGCTGGTCCTCGTAGGAGCGCCGCTGGTCCTCGCAGGAGCATTGCTGGTTCCCGCTGTAGCGCTGGTCCCCGTAGGAGCGCTGGCGGTCCTCCAGAAGAGGTCGGCTGGTAGAAGTCGGGGCGTTTCTGGTCCCTGTTGTAGCGCTGCTGGACCTCGTGGGAGCGGCCCTGGTCCCAGGTGGAGCGCACGCTGGTCCCAATTGTAGCGCCGCTGGTCGCCGTGGGAGCGCTCCTGGTCCCAATCGGAACGCCGCTAGTACCCGTAGGAGGCCTCCTGGTCACAATGTGAGCGCTGCTGGTGGCCAGAGGCCTGCTGGCTGAACGTCACGTTGCTCCCCAAGTTGACAACGATAGCGAAATCACCGGGTGAACATGGCAGCGGTTCCCGCATCGCAAATGCGGATTATTCGCCATGCAGTTTGCCAGTGTGTTGCAGCCCGTCTCGCATAATATGCGCTGTTCTGGCGAAGTGCTGATCGCGGTAAGGAACTCCCGCCAGAGGCGTGGTAATCCTCGTAGCCATCGTTCTGGTCAAAATTGGCAATGTTTGGACCGGCGCAGGGTGCGTCGCGGGCTCTGCGGCCGCCATCGCAGGATGCCGTGCCTGGGCGCCGCCTGTTCGCCCTGCGGCGGGGCCGGGTTTCGGGGGCGGGGAGTACCCCGCAGTCATCCTCCTCCGCCTCCGCCTCCCCCTCCCCCTCCTCCATCCGCCCACATGTCTGATGCCCCTTCCCTGCTTCTCCCACGTCCCTCCTCCCTCCGTCCCCCCCTCCGTCATCACTCCCCTGCTCCCCTTTTCAGCTCCGCTCCCCTCCAACCCCTCCTCCCAAACGCTCGAACGCTCAGTCCAGGTCGACCTGCGGCCCTACCTGGACAAACAGAAACCACCATGGATCAAGGGCGCCTCGCACCCTTCAGAGCCAGGAGCAACCGTGATGGGGTCGGGGTTGAAACCAAGAAAGGCTCCATAATATTGCCAAGGGGCCAGGGGGTGGAGAGCTTCTGTCCGTTACCCCCTGAGAGATTTCCAAACCCCTTCTCCTTCCTTCCTCCTCCCCCCCCTCCTCCCTCCTCCCCCCTCATCCGCCTCCCCCTCCTGGCCCCGAGGCCCGGGCGCACGCCACGGTCGCCTTCCCGGCGCTGTGGGCCTCCCACGTGATGTTGTAGGCCTTGCGCCGAGTCAGGTGCTTGACGGTTCTGGTCAGGCACCCCGTGACATACCTCAGAAGGCGGGGCAGAGGAGGCAGAGGACGAAAGAGGCGGAGGGAGAAGTAACCAGGAGTAATCACTGAGGACCACGCCGCTAGACCTAGGGGCGAGCCTCGGCCAAGCAGAAGAAGGGAGGGGCCAGTCACCCCTTACAGTGCTGCCATGGCCGCCTCAGGGCCCCCTTGTGGGCACCGATGGCGACTTCGGGAAATACAAACAAGAGTCGGCAGGGAAGTGGAGGGACGAGGGAGGAGGAGAGAAGAGGGAGGAGTCGCGCTTTGAGTGTCCTTGGTGCTCGAACGTGTGGATGTCGTCGTTGTGCAGAAGCACGCGCCACCTGGCGGAGGGGGACGGCCTTCAGGACAGTCGGAGTAGCAAGAGGGGGCGGAGCCGGCGAGTCGTGAAACGCAGACAGCATGGATCTCGACTGTTGACTCGGACAGAACAATATCATACATGAGAAGCAACAAACGGGAGGGAGCGTCAAGGACCAGGAACAGAGGGTGCCCAGGAGGACGAGTCTCTTGGGGCCATCCAGGTTTTGTATTAGACTCGACTGTGTTCTCTCGGGGCTCTCTTAGGACCTCTTGGGCCATCTCGGACTCGCTCGGGCAGGTCGGGGACAACTTGAATGGTGGCCGTCTAGGGCTAGAGATGTATCGGGACCATTTTGGGGCGGTGCGGTACTATCTTGGGACCATACTGGCCCATCTTGGGGGCGTTTGGGGACCTCTTCGGGACGACTCGCGTGTGGCTCTTGATCCTCGTGAAAGCCTCTTGGGCCCATCTCGGAGCCAACTTGAGATGGAAAGTAGAGCATGGCAAAAATGCACGAAAATCCATAGATTTCAGACGGGCTTCATCCATCGGGGGCCGTCCGTGATTTATATCGGAGCCCATTTTTTTTCCCGACGGAGACGCATCAGCCTATCTTGTCGATTGCCCACGGGTACGCACACAAGGCGGAATGAAATAAACGATCGCCTCCGTGGTGAGCAGAAAGAAGCTGCACTGGCGGGGCCTCGCGCAAGAGACGCAACCGCCTCGCGCGCTTATCTGGTCGATTGCCCAACAATGCGCACGCAAGGTGGAGCGAACAGCCCCTGAAAGTGAAGAGATGTATCTGAGTTACTGGGCTGACCGCAGGCGCATGTCACTTGCAAGCCAGCATGGCAGCCTGCCACGCCTCAGCGCGAGCAGCACACAGATTGACGCGCCGAACTATTCCTCTGCTGAACAATCGAACGCCAACAATGAAACTCCGCCACCTTGTCGCAGGCACGTTGAGGCCGCGTGAGAGTGCCTTGTTGGCTTTCGGGATATACATATGTATACACATATACATATGCATAAATACATATAAATATGTAGCGCATCGTTCCAGTCTCCGTGGAACATGTTCCAGGGGGAACTGTTTTTCACAAAAAATCGTGGCAAATTGATGTTACAGAAAATCAGTGGCGCCAGCGCTGGGAGAGACGGGACGATTTAGAAGAAGTCGCAGTACATCACCACGACCAATCGTGAAACGAGAGCGCCGGCGAGAGAGACCAGGAGAGCAGTTGAGCGCCGCGACTGCGCCCAGCGCATCTCCAGTAGTGGAAGGCTGCCACCCAGACTCACGACCTCCTCCGAAGCACTAGGAGCCACCACCTTGCACAGGCCACACGTTGTGGGGCAGGCCCCGCGCACAGTGCTTCCATACTCCAGATCGAAGCAATAGGACTGCACATCAGCACATCCACTGATTATCATGCCCAGGCCGTTTGCAATTTCGATCGCCTCGGCGTCATCATCCACGCATGTGTGGCACTGACGTGTGGCTGAGAAGCAAAGCTCGTTTGTGGAACATGTGCTCAATCCGTCAACACACGGGTACGCGGAACTCAGACCCGTGCCATCGGTCACCAGACAGCCTGCCACCTGGCAGACGCCACACGTGAAAGAGCACATATGGCGTGCAGTACTGCCATGCATCGGATCGTCGCAATAGAAACGCACGTCAGTACAGCCATTGATCTTCATGGCCAGGCCATTTGCAACTTCGATCGCACCAGCATCATCATCCGCGCATGGCGTAGGCTCTGGTCTGTGTGGCTTGGACTCGAAAAACTCAAGCATCTTGGGAATGGCACTGTAATTCCAGCTGTGTACCACGGGCAAAATGCCCAACAATGCCATCACAGGGAGTCTCGCGACAACCATACTCGAAAAGAAGGCCGACGAAGTTGCGGTAAAAGAAAAAATGGTTTGAGTAAAATGGCTTGAGCCAAAATGGCTACGGTATCGGAGGTTGGGGGGTGAGTCCGACGTGAAACGGAGACCCCCCCTACCGGGAAATCGATTTCGGCTTCGGGTTCGCGCCGTGCGTGCGTGCGGGCGAGGCGAAGCTGCGTGGGCGGGCGAGAGGAAATCCCCCTGTGGCTGGGCCGCGGCCGGACCAACTGTAACTCCTCCAGCGGCCGGTGCCCCGCGGTGTCCCGCCGGTGTCCCGCGGGTGTCCCGAAATCCTCCTGTGGCCGGGCTGCGGCCGGACCGAATGTAACTCCTCCGGCGGCCGGTGGCCCGCGGTGTCCCGCTGGTGTCCCGCGGGTGTCCCGTTGTGCCCCGTGGTGTCCCGTGGTGTCCGCCGTTGCTACGGCGAAACCAAGACAAATGATTCTCCTCCTTCCGCCCGTCCAGCGGTGGCTCGCGCTGTCCCGCGGTGTCCCGTGATGGCCCGTGGTGTCCCGTGGTGTGTCCCGTGGTGTCCCGTTGAGTGAGATCGATAGTGAGATAGATCAATAGTGAGATCGAGAGTAAGATCGATACTGAGATCGATGTGGTGCCCCGAAGTGTCCCGTGGTGTCCCAAAAAGTGAGATCGATAGTGAGATCGATAAAGAGATCGACATGTATCCGTGGTGTCCCGTGGTGTCCCGTTGAGTGAGCTCGATAATGAGATCGATAGTGAGATCGATGTGGTGTCCCGAGGTGTCCCGTGATGGCCCGTGGTGCCCCGTGGTGTCCCGTGGTGTCCCGTTGAGTGAGATCGATGGTGAGATCGATAGTGAGACCGATAGTGAGATTGACAGGTGTCCCGCGGTGTCCCATGGTGCCCCGTGGTGACCCGTGGTGTACCGTTGAGTGAGATCGATAGTGAGATCGACAAGCGTCCCGTGGTGTCTCGTGATGTGGCATGGGCGAGGGCGAGGCCGGGGGGGGGGGGGCGCGACGAAAGAAGTGAAACGAAACAGAAATGAGAGGCGTCAAGGGCGAGGAAGGGCCTCCAGACGCCCCACGGATAACGCTAGCCCCAAGGTGGCCCGAGCACCGCTCAAGATGCCCAGGGCTGGTCGGGGGCAATTGTCCTCTGCTGCTGCTTCCGCCAGCTGCTGGCGGGACCTAAGGCCGTTTACGGAAACTGCGGGCGGGTAGACAGCATCAGTCAGCATCAAATCGGGAAATCGGATCGAATCGTAACGTGCGTCGGGTGGGGCTGCATCGGCACGCAATTGAAGTCGAATCAGATCGGCTGCGCCAGAATGCACAGCAGCGGAATGCAGGCATCGGGCTGCATAGAATGGCTGGAATGCTGAAACCGAGCCGGATCGAGCCGGCCGGGATTCATATCGAACTGGCTCGGTCGGATCGAGACGGACCTTGGTAGGGATCCCCTGCTCGGAATCCCCCCTCGCCTCGAGAACACCACATGGCCACCTGCGGGCCCTACGCTTGTCGGCCCGCCAGTGGCTCGCAAGAGGGTCTGGCCGCGGGCCCCCTCTGTGAAGCGGAGGCTTCACACAGCACACCTTTCTCACGTCGGCGCTCCCCACGAGGCCGATCTCCACGGGCGCCCAGCTGGCGCCACCAAAGCACTGAGCACGAGAAACTGTAGGTGGAATAGGGAAAGGTGGTAGTGATAAGTATTGGGCTCTGATAAGGAATGGAGTACGAGAGAAAGCGGGGCCTCTCGAGGGCCCGGGACTCCTGCGGCCCCACAATGAAGGCCTGCAGCCAAATGGAGCGACCTGTCTAACATCTGCTTCGGAGACGCGAGGTTCCATATCTGGAATGGAACCCTCTCGGGGCGATCGACACCGACCCTAAAATATTTTCGCTCCAAACCGTAGCTTGAAACGGACGGGCACATTAAACTACAGGCTTGACTTCTGGTCTGCATCACCCCAGAGGTCCGGTCGGAAATCTAAAGTTTCAACACTCCCTAAAGTGGAAATTCCGAGACTCCTGCGTCTCCTGGCTGACTCAAACATCTGGTCATACACGAGGCGCCACCGGCACCCATGCCTGAAAAAAATCAAGCTGCCACTTTTCGTGGCCCTTGGTAAGACTGTTGGCTAACATTGCGTCGCTATGCACCCACCTAACAGGACACACACACACGCTTCAATACCGTCCCTCAAAGCTTAAAGCTCTAAGCCTGTTCTGAACTCTTTACCGCCCATGAGTTTTTCTGGGCACCGAAGTCTGTCATACAAACTCTTCGAGTCCGTGATCAAAACTCCAAGAACGCGTCGAACTTGGGCCCATGGATTTCGAAGGTCTGGCTTCCAGCCGGACAACTCAGAAAGCAGGAACCTCACGTAGGTCACCTCGTCCTCAGTATTCACCGTCGCTGAAACTTCCGCTGCCGGGGGAGACCTGCACGTCCGTTCAACCTTGCCTGATCTCCAACTCATCAACGAAACACCTGTCTCCTGGCCATCCAGAAACGACGCAGGAACAACCCGTATAATTCGACCCTCGGTGGACTTCCCGTCAACCCTGTTCGCGAACGCGGCATCACCCCATCCGACGACCGCCAGCTCTTGGGACTCCTCGAACGCGAAAATCTCCAGGGTCCGATCTCGGGCCTCCTTGGCCCTTTTGATAAGTTGGTTGACCTTCAATAGGTCCTCTACTGTGCACGATTCTGTTTTGCTCTGCGGTAAACTCAACTCCGCCAGAATATCCGGACCCGTCTGAGTCCCTTTCCACTGTAGGCTCCCAGTGACTGCCCTGAACTGACTCTTCTCAGCCGTGGCGACCGGAGACGACACCTGACGACGACGGTCTGGGAGAACCTCGACCTCCTCGATCTGTTCCAAATACGTTTTCTGGCTGAGACTGAAACTGAAATCTGGCCGTTGGGTGATATCCACACCACACTGCGTGAAAGAACCGCACTCCCACTCTGTCCAGCGAAATGCATCCATAATACGTTGCTTCGCCTTCGCCCACTGATGGTCGTGATCGCGCCCGGCAAACAAGAAATCATCCACATGAGATAAAGCCATGCCAGCGATTCTCGATGGACCTCCTTCCCGCCCAGGAGCTGTCAGAATCCATACACATGGGTCGGCCTCCAGCTGTGTCCAGCCCAGCTCCTGCAGCTTCTGATTCACCGCCCGGCGCCATGCCCGGGGAGCCTGAACCAAGCCGCACGCCGACTTCATCAGAATAGCCACCTGCGCAGGACGAAGACCCAAGTACTCTGCAATGTCCCCGGTCGGCTTCACAAAGAGGTCCCTGTCCAGCTCCTCCCCCTGGAGGAACGCGGACTTCACGTCGCCCTTGGCCACTCGCATCCTCAAATGGGCCGCCGCCTTCTGGAGGAAAACTTGTCTGGCCGTCCTCGTGGCGGTCGGTGCATACGACTCCTCCGTTGTCAGGTCGGGGTCCTGGAATCCCAAGATGACCAACCTGGCCTTGGCCTTGCGCCCTCCGGGCCCCGCCAGGTCGATCTTCCACGTCAGCGCCCAGCGCAGTCGCATCAACCTGTCCATCGGCGCCCTCACATGTGGCGGAAGAGCCTCGAGCACCATCTCCTTGATCCACTCCTGGGCTTCTTTGCTCTTCGCCTTCTTGAACTTCTCAAAATCCCCCGAAGATAAAGTACGCTCCTTCACTTCAGCTCGTTGCCGTCGGAGCTGCGTCGCCACGAAAGCTCCAAGATCTCGAGCCGCGTATCCTCCTTTGGCACCGCTCGGCATGTTGATCTCGATCTCGATGGCACTGTCCGCTCGGTTCCAGAAGCACTCCTGGTCGATCTCCTCTGTGACCAACGCCTCCTGCTCCTTGCTGTCATGTCGCTTCTGTCTGTCTGTCTCTTCCTTCCCGCACTTGAGGTCACCTACATCTGGCCGAGGAAGTCAAACCCAGGCATACGGTGATACTCTCGTGAAAGGCGCCCTGGATTTTTTTGGTGGGCGCGCTGGCGTTGCTGGGAACGTTCTCTCCATCGCCGGAGCTGTCGAGCTTGCTGGAGCTCCCGTCGGAATGCCTGGCGTCGGAGATGTTGTCCGTAAAACCTTGACGCGCTCCCCGTGTTGCTCTGGATTTCGCTTCCCACGCAGACGTAGTCGGGGTATAACTTCAGCTTCTTCGACTGTTGGTAGTGGCGGTACAGTTGCTGCTTCTACATAGTCCTTGTCGCTCGGAACCAGTTTCGGATCGGCAGCGAGATCTTCGTACTGACCCGTCTTCAGACTGCCCGTCATGTTACTGAATGTCCAGCGTAACTCCGTGCCGTGGATGATATCATGCTCTGCAATCTCCCGATCCGAAGCGTCCCTGAGCTGACACGGATCACAGCGTATCAGTCGCCCGCAAGCGTTGAGCCACACTCTGGGTCGCGGTTGCACACTACCATTGCGATGAACAGTCTCCGTCGCGAGCACTCTTGCTGGTCCGTAAAACCTGCCCGTCATGGAGCTGCTCTTCGGATTACGAAAGTAGTAGACCAGCGTCCCAGGAGTATATACCTTCAGATTCCGTGACCTGGCGTTGACCGCTCTCCGAGCACGCTCACCATAGATCCACTTCAGCAGCGCCTCCTGAACTTTCCGCATGAACTCGAAATTGTTCCCGAACTCGGCGTCAACCGCTTCCGACTCTAGAGCCGGAAGATTGACCGGATCTCCTGGCACCTCGATGAACGACCCGTCTGGGTCAGGGGCTCGCCCTAGAGCAACCTGGAGCGGGGAGAAGCCCCGATGGCGGTCGAACTCGTTGCACGCTGCCATGGACCTCGCCAGATATTCCTCACAGGTCCGTCCTGGATGTTTCTTCGCCAGTGTCGTCATGGTATCCTTGACCGTTCCGATGAGTTTCTCGATGCCGCCGATCTGCCCATGAGCCTGGCCTGGAATCGGATCCATCTGTATCCCGCTGCTTTCCAGATTCTCTGATGACATTGCTCATCCAGGCTCCCTCGGGGTCGACCTGAAATTCTCTCGGCCGGCCAAAATAGGAAATCCACCGACTCCAAGCTGAGTCCTTCAGATCTTCTGCTGTCGCATGTCGGCTCTTCTCCATCTTGAACAACATGTGTCCCACGCCCAGTCGACTGCCCATATCCAGGTAGAGGGCCAGCTTGAACTTCTCGTGCGTCACCGGGCTGTCCCACTCAGCGAGGTCGCTCTGCAGGGCAGCCCACTTCTTGGGAACTTCGTCAGCCGATCCCGCTGGCCGGGGCGGTCCATGCTTCTGGCTCTTGTCACAGGCAGCACACCGCATGCTCTTGACGTGGACGACAATGCGCTTGTCGGCTCCCTTCGCCGCCAGTGACTTCGCCACCTGCGAAAATGGGCAGTGACCACAAGCTGAGTGGATCCGCCTTGCCGCAATCTCAATATTGTTCACTGTCTCTCTGTCAATGTCCGTCTCCGACTTGGCCAAACCGAAACTCATCTCGAAGTCCAGCTCAGCCTGCTCTGACTCGACATACCCGCTTATCTCCTTCAGATTCGGCTCCACCAGCATTGCTCGAACTGCTCTTCTGACAAACTCGTCTGGGTAGTATGCCGTCGCAGCGGTACGATGGCCGCCCACGCACGGGGAATGATCATGCTTCCCGTCACATCTGAAAGTCATCCGCTGTCGTAGCCTGTCGGATGTGGCCCATATCTCCCACGGCGTCTGAATAGCCAGACCGTTATCTCTCGTTTTGACACCAACCATACAACCGTCACAAATAGCCAGCTGCATATCACACCCCCTGAACACCTGCCTGAGTTCCGGCCATCGGTACGGTGCGAGATCTTTCGGCCATTCCCAGTGTACATGCCCGTGGTCTGCCACCTGATCCATGACCAGAATAAGACAGTTCCTGATGATATTATGAGACTTCTTGCGGTTTTGCAGAACCTGGGCCCAGACATCAGGTTTGTGATAATTGAAATTATGGTTGCCACTCCATGGCCCACAAGGAAGTGATAACCACATGTGTAAAGGTCGTACTCGATTGCGTTCAGTGCGTGCCTTCTGTAGACCTGCAGTGGTGGCAAGATCGAAACCATTCCACCCACTAATTCGTAATGCACCGTCCGTCCCTGACTCCTGCTGCATATATGTGGTAGGGCCCGACGCTGGTGAGCAGCAGACCCCCATTAGCTTGGCGCGGGCAGTGTCCGTCAGAAACGCCCAGGCTGGCGCCACGCTCTTATCCAGGCACCCCGCCAGCCAGGTAGCCTGAGAGTCCGTGATATGATTCAGCGGCCCTTGCCGCCCGGCCCAGGCGGGCCTGGAGTCGACGACGATGCCTCCTCGACCTTCTGAACCCTCGATGTCAGCACGTGCATCTGGTTCTTCATGTCCCCCAAGGTCGATGATCTGGTCTTCCTTCGCCTTGACGTCCTCCATCTTCATCGGCTCCTCCGCGCTCAGCCGCTTCGTCGCCGGACGCGTCCGCATCGTCGACTTGTACTCCTCCCTGATCACCAGCCACGGTCCTTCCTGCTTCTCGCACTTTTCGCCTTTGACCTCCGGCACCGGTAACTCGAACCTGCCGACATTCATCATGTCCTCCTCCTTGACCCCTTGTGAGGTCAGCCAGTTCGTGAGCGCGTGAAAACGCCTGTCCTTGAGACTCACCAACCATCCCGCATACTCCTTCTCCTTCTCGAGAAGCTCCTGGAAGGTGAGTCCTCGATGACGTCCGAAAGGAACCACGTCGGTCGCCGCCCCAGGCTTCGGTCGCGACTCGAGCTTCTCGGCGATCACGATCTGCAGGTCGCCTCTCGTCTCCTGCCCGCTCAGAGCACATCCGAGGCCCCGGGCCGCGGCCATCAGCTCGTCCTTCTTCTTATGCTTCGGCGGTGGCTTGCCGCGCATGTCCGTGGCCTGATGGGTCTGCCGGATGCGGGCTCGGAGCATCTCTACCGTCACGTGCTTGCCGTCCTCGCCCCACTGACATATCTCCTGCAGGGGGTCTGCCTTCCGCATCAAGGACGTGGGCGGACACTGAGACATCCCGTGGAAGAGGGGTCTGCAGGAGCGCTGACCTCTGCGGCGCAAACTCTCGAGCCTGACGGTTGCGGTCGAACATCTTGTTAGACCATGTCGGATTCAAACTAGATTATTCATAGGGATCGGGCCCTCGCGAGGTCTCTGAACATTCACATGGCCTCCTCGGGGCCTCTGCTTCTTGGAGGCCCTTGGTTTCGTCGTGTTCTGGAGCCTGCCCTCGGCGATCATCGCTACACTCTCCCAGGCCCGGGAGGCCCTGCATATTCTGATAAACTTCGGGGACTGACGTTAACCTCTGAGAAGGCGGGGAACTTACCTGGCTAGACCTGGATGCCCTCTGACATCCCGCAGATGTCTTCAAGAAACCCGAGGATGATCTGCTTGAGCATGCGGTCGTCGCACAGGTCCCAGCGGGCCTTCTCGGAGCCCCGCTGGAGGTCCCGTGAGGCCCTGAGATTCCCAAAGCCGAGGACGTCGCGCAACTCGACGCCAGTACAAACGACTTCCCCTCTACAACGTTTGCTGTCTCTGATTGATGTGGCCGACGATACTGCGATGGAGATGATGAGACGATACATGGCGCTACAGCTGGCGCCACTCCCCCGGTGTCTGCCGACGCCTCCACATGCGTCTGATCTGCAAGAGCTGCCACGCCCCGGCTCAGGATGCAATCCGCCGGCCCTGGATTCGAGAGTTCCTCGCCCAGCAAGTCGCACGTCAAATCGATCAGGAGGTGGCCAGTGCGCGACCGCGGGAAAGAGATCATCTCGGTGCTATCGATACGCTTGAAAATGCCGACACTCGCCTCGAAGTCGATCACCGCTCCGAGGTTGTTCAAGGTCTCGATGGACACCAGAATAGGGATCCCTGGAGCCTCCACTGCATGGACCATGATAGACACCTTGGTGCCACCCACAAGCAGAGAGAACTTCACCTTGCACAGGACCCGCTTGACCTCGCCGTTGCCAAACTTGAAGACCGGGCGATCATTAAGGTCGATCTCCATCGGGGGGTGTCCCCTTTTCGCGAGGATCTCATTCAAATTCTCAATCGCCTCGATCCCGCCGATGGTATTCGTGGCCCCGCTGTCTATGATGCCGTGGCCCGACTCCGTCGCCCGCGAGACTACGCACGCCATCTTAATCTCAGGGTCATCCAAGTCCACGCTGTTGTTCAGGGCCTCTTCGCCGTCGTCGGTCATAGCCGCCGCCATCAGCACCAATCCGTTGAACTTGTCCCCATCCAGGCTGACCACCTCTTGGACCTCCTGGACGGCTTCCAGCGAGACGGCCGTCGCCACGATCTGGACATGCTCCTGTGCGATGAGCACCTCCGCACTTGATGCACGGCCCCTGACGTCCATCCGTCCTGGAGCCCTGGCCGTTGTTGTTGAAGAACCGGCGGCCGGTGCGATGCTTATTGATATGCTGTCTAGCGTCCTGGAGGCGCTTATGGCTGGCCTGGAACTGGGCGAAAGCCTCTTCCTCCTCATCCATAGCAGTCGCGAAAGCTTCGTCATCGCCTTCATCGTCGCCATCCTCCTTGACGTTGTTCGCCACTGCTGAGGCCATGACAGACTCTTTGTCGTCGTCAACGTTCCAGGTCTGTGCGTCCTCGCCATTGAAAGCCGCAGCCGCCACCTGCTGCCGGATGAACTTCGACTTCCTGCAATCTCGCTCTTTCAGATTCTCATCACTCGGCCACTGTGTCCGCAGCGCCGACTCGACACTCTCCACTGTGAAGTCACCCCGACAAGAACCGATGACTGCTGCGATCTCGCCGCCATCAAGGCCCGCGCGGTGCAACAAATACCATCCTCTGACGATGCTGGGCAGCACCTCGGGCAGGTCCTGCGTCGGGAACGTGCAACCGCTCTGATCATCCTGATCACGCTGGCCCCACTGATGCTGCCACCAACCACCGCTGGTCCAGCCATGACGATACCACCGGCCATGATCCTCATCTCCCGGCACTTTCCAGTCTTGGACTTCCTCAGCTTCCTGGTCGTCGGCGGTACCCTCTTCACCGCCGGGAACACGATACCACGAAGCTGTCCCCGAGTCCTCTGGCCACTTGTCGAAGGATGAGATAGTCGCTGGGGTCTGCATCGTCTCCGTCTTGCCTATCATGCTGGCGAGCGCCACCCGCAGCCGCTGGTAGCGCTCATGGACCCTCAGGCAATACTCGCCCATACTCTCGCCGCACTTACGCCTGAGCTTCACGAAGTATTCTCCCATATAATGGCCGACGTCCTCCACTGGCTGTCTCATCACATTCTTCTGCAGGTACTCCAGTAGCCGGTCCGCACCCCAGTTGTTTGACAGCCATCCTCTAGGCCTGCCGATACAGGCCGTCGCCGCCGGTCCTGACAGGCGCGCGACCAACCTGGGGCCGCATAGGTACCTGTCCTCCCACTTCGTGCCATCCACGTAGTTCATGACATCCTGCTGGTACCGCTCCCAGGTTCCAGCGCTGCCATTCCATGTCGGAATCCTGGTTTGTCCACCAGTCTCCATAGAGCAGAAACCTGCTCCGCTACCATGTGAAGCGAAGGCTTCACACAGCACACCTTTCTCACGTCGGCGCTCCCCACGAGGCCGATCTCCACGGGCGCCCAGCTGGTGCCACCAAAGCACTGCGCACGAGCACTGTAGGTGGAATAGGGAAAGGTGGTAGTGATAAGTATTGGGCTCTGATAAGGAATGGAGTAAGAGAGAAGGCGGGGCCTCTCGAGGGCCCGGGACTCCTGTGGTCCCACAATGAAGGCCTGCAGCCAAATTGCTATGGTTGGAGCGAACTGTGCAACATCTGCTTCGGAGACGCGAGGTTCCATATCTGGAATGGAACCCTCTCGGGGCGATCGACACCCTCCGCATCTCGAGGCCGCGAGGCGGAAAAGAAAATACCTTCAGGAGGGGGTTCCTGCTCCGACGACCAGCCGAGCCTCGACTCCGCTCCTCCTCGTCCTCCTCCCCTCATCGCCCTCTCCCTCTCGCTGTCCCCTCTCGCCTCACCCCTCTACCACCACCCCTCTGTCGTTTCCCCTCTGTCGTTTCCACTCCGCCCATTCCCCATCCCCTCGTCTCTCCCCCTTCCCCTCACCTCTTCCGACGCGCAATTCCCCCATCCAGCTGCCCTTCCTCCCCTCCCCTCCTCGGCCAGCCGGTCGGTCGGATACTAATGACAGGTAAGGTAATATGCCTGCCGATTCCAAGCGAAAACCAAGTCAAGGCAGAAGGGGGAAAAGTGAGCAGCAAGGACCATAACAAAACATCACACCAATCCTCCTCCTCCTCCTGCTCCTCCTCCTCCTCCGGCTCCTCCTCCTCCTCCTCCTCCTCCTCCTGCTCCTCCTCCTCCTCCTCATCATCATCATCCTCCTCCCCCTCTCTTCCTCCTCCTCCTCCTCCTCCTCCTCCTCCTCCTCCTCCTCCTCCTCCTCCTCCTCCTCCTCCTCCTCCTCCCCCATCAGCCTCCTCCGCATCCTCTTCCCCCTCCTCCCCTTCATCAATAATAATCCTCATCATGATCATCATCATCATCATCATCATCATCATCATCATCATCATCATCATCATCATCATCATCATCATCATCATCATCATCATCATCATCATCATCATCATCATCATCATCATCATCATCATCATCATCATCATCATCATCATCATCATCATCATCATCAGCAGCAGCAGCAGCATCAGCAGCATCATCATTCATCATCATCATCATCATCATCATCATCATCATCATCATCATCATCATCATCATCATCATCATCATCATCATCATCGTCAGCATCATCATCATCATCATCATCATCATCATCGTCAGCATCATCATCATCATCATCATCATCATCACCACCATCATCATCATCATCATCAGCAGCAGCAGCAGCAGCATCATCATCATCATCATCATCATCAGCATCAGCATCATCATCATCATCATCAGCATCATCATCATCAGCAGCAGCAGTTAGCAGCAGCAGCAGCATCATCATCATCATAATCATAATCAGCATCATCATCATCGTCGTCGTCGTCGTCAGCAGCAGCACCACCACCACCGCCACCACCACCATCGTAATCAGCAGCAGCAGCATCGTCATCGAAATAATAATAATAATCATCATCATCATCATCAGCAGCATCAGCATTATCATCATCAGCATCATCACCATCATCATGATCGTCGTCATCATCAGCATCATCACCATCAGCAGCAGCAACAACAGCAGTACACTCATCATTCGCGTTATGATAAGAAGACGGATTAGTATTATCATCATCATCATCATCATCATCAGCCTCATCATCATCAGCATCATCATCCTCATCATCATCATCATCATCATCGTCATCAGCATCATCGTCATCGTCATTGTCATCATCATCATCATCATCAGCATCATCATCATCAGCATCATCATCAGCAGCAGCATCACAATCGTCAGCAGCATCATCAGCAGCATCAGCATCATCAATATCATCATCATCGTCATCAGCATTATCATCGTCAGCATCACCATCGTCATTATCATCGTCATCATCATCGTCATCAGCATCATCGTCCTTACCATCGTCATCGACCTGGTCATCGTCATCATCATCAGCATCATCATCAGCATCATCATCATCATAATCATCAGCATCAGCAGAATCATCATCATCATCATCATCACCATCATCATCATCAGCATCATCATCATCATCATCATCATCATCATCATCATCATCATCATCATCATCATCCTTAGGTCATCGTCAGCGTAATCATCTTCGCAATCAGCATCAACAGCAGCATGATTACCATGATCATCATGTTCATCAGCAGCAGCATCATCAGCAGCAGCACCATCGTCAGAATCCTCATCATCATCATCATGATCCTCATTATCATCCTCATCATCATCCTCATCCTCAACCTCCTCATGTATTATCATCCCGTCACCACCATCATCATCATCAGCAGCATCATCATCACCCTCATCATCGTCCTCCTCCCCATCATCATCATCATCATCATCATCATCATCATCATCATCATCATCATAACCATCATCATCATTCCCAAAAGCATGATCGTACTCATCATCATCACCCCCCCCTCAACTTTTAACACCCTCTCTCATCTCGTATGGGGTCGCAGTATGTCAGTATCCTCCTCCTCCTCCTTCTCGGAATGGCATGCTCCTCTTCCTCCTTCTAAGTCCCAGGCCCCGTCATCCGTATTCTGTCGCCTCATCCTGAATCGTGTTCCTCCTCTTCCTCAATCGTTGCCCTCCTCCTTCGGGCACGGACTACCGACACATAGCAGCGCACAGAGACGGATTAGCAGACAAACACGACCAGGCACAAGCAGGGCATGGGCAGATACGGGCAGGCACTGACGATACGCAGAGAGAACTGATGGACGGGCAAAGACAGACACTGGTAAGAAACAGATAAACACGGACAGGCAATGACAAACATGCGTGAACGTTGACAGACAGATAGACACACACACACACACCCTCATACACAAGCACACACACACACACACACACACGCACACGCACGCACGCACGCACGCACGCACACACGCACACACACACACAAAAACACACACACACACACACACACGCACACACGGGCGCCGGCTGACACTGATAGAAGGCAGAAACTCGTGAGAGAAGGCAGACTGAACACAAAAAAACAAACGAAAAGACCAAACGACACAAGGCACCCCCCCTGAGAGCAGGCATTGCAGGAAGCCCTAGAGCCCCCGACTAAGAAGAGCAGATGTTCTGCGCCTGGCTGCACGACCATGTATGCGTGCGAGCGCTACGGCCCAAGGATTGTCGCAAGTGTCGACGAACGCATGCTGAAATACTGAAACTGACAGAGAACACAATACACGTCGGTCGGAAGAAGTAGGAAAAAACATGCAGTAGGAACGCGGATTTAGTGGATTGGATCCAGGCCTCCCAGATAATAACAAAACGCAGCAAAAGCAAGCCGATTCTTGAAGTAGGAAGGCGCTTGAAGTAGATTCGGATGTAGGAATCCAGAAATACCTAGTTTCAACGACCGGCATGTACATAAAGAATGACAGCGGTCCACCATTTCTCCTTGTCAAACTCCTCCTTCATCTTCGCCTTCAGGTCGTTTTTCTCCATGATTGCTATGCCAGCATCCGGAAGCTGCGGCTGCAT